ATTTAATTATTATCAACTAATTATTATTATTTTTTTTATGGAAGATTAGCCCTGAGCTAATGTCGTGCCCATCTTCCTCTATTTTATATATGGGACGCCTGCCACAGCATAGCTTGATAAGCAGTGCATAGGTCTGCACCCGGGATCCAAACCAGTGAACCCCAGGCCGCCAAAGCTGAATGTGTGAACTGAACCACTGAGCCACTGGGCTGACCCCTCAATTAATTATTTTTTAAGTTATAAACACTGTGTAGGCAAAAGAGAAATATTCACCAATTTTCAACCTTTGATTAACTTTTATAAAAATACTTTATTTCTGCCACTGCCTATGTAATTTATATAAGTATCCACTAGGCAGTTGGTAGTGTCTAGATTAAGCTCTTACATTAAACAAAAAAAAACTAGCTTCTCATAGGTATACCTATATTTTGTACATATAACATCCCCCCCCTTGAATATATTTCACTATAAAAGTAGAGTTCTTAATTTAGACAACAAAACATAGCTATTACTTCAGTAGCAGTGGTCTTTATTGGACTATGAAATTGGACAAAGATGGTAATGGATTAAGAGAATTTCATTAACGTGAGAAATGAGACGCTCTTGGCACAATGTATAGTAGGTGTGTAGGTATTTGGGAAAGTGGTGGGTATGTGTGTAACTCATACTAGCTTCTTGGCTCAGCCACCTTTGGGTTTCTAAGTTCCATGAAAATTAGAGTGCTTGTAAGCAAAAAGGGCTAAAAACTCTTTAAAACATCGATCTGAAGCTCAAGCATTCAGAGTTGCACTCTGATGTCGTATGAACCAAAGGAGAGAGAAGCAGCCTTCTCCATTCTGCAAAAGAACACCATGGAGGTTTATCATCTCGGTAGTGTGAATGACTTGGCTGTGGACGGAGATTACAGCATCTGGTGGACGAGGAGGTACTTAGCGATGACTGACAAGAGATGATAGGAACTTGGCAAACATAGCGGCACCCAGATGGTGCCAAGCAACTCAGCATCTGCATAACACAAGAAGATCTATTTCTGAGGGTACCTCTGGATTTCTCCCAGAAGCGGTAGAGTGGACTTAGTCATGGGAATGGAAGCCCTTTGCAGGGCAAGCAGGGGCAAGATTAAAACCATTGCTATCAATACAATTTTTGTCTCTACTTATAGGCTTTTTAGACCTGAGGAAACTTGGGATACCCTTGTAACATATTTTATATTTAAATATAAATTTTATTTTAAAATAAATATACATTTTAAGTGACAGAAAATCAGGGCCTGTTTAAAAGACAAATTCCTACGTGCAACTAGATACCTCTTTTGCAATCAGTTACAATTTATAAGTTTTGATTTTTTCCTACATTTTTAACTCTTTCTTTAATTTATGGTACTTTATCTATCTTAAGCTCTAGACTGGTATTGCATGATTTAATGTTTGATTGACTGTTTCTAAGTAAGTTTCTTACATGATATCTATGTGAAATTTCTGCCTTTCATTCTCAAAGCCAACAGAATCAGTTCAGTAAAATTTCTTTCATTTTTTCTAAAATAGAGCTCCACATGTTCATTTCTCAAGTTGTGTACAACTGTTGTCCAGTGTAATTTCCCTTCACTGCACATTTTTAATCATGGGACTTTTATTGTTTACAGTTAACCACTTCTGTAGTTGTACCACCTTTCTGTAGTGTGCACTGTATCAGTGCTACCTTTCTGTTGTGTGAAGCCAGAGCCGGTTAGTTTGAAATTACTGATAATTGTCTGTCATACGCATTGGCCACCACCTGCCTCTGCTCCCTTTAGCAATTGTGTGATCTCTCTGGCAGCATTTCTCGAAGTGTGGTGCTCAGACCACCTGCATCACAACCACTTGGGTTGCTTGTTAAAAATGCAACTTTCCGAACCTATCACAGACTTCATAAATCAAGTTCTCTTTGGCTTTGCCGGCTAAAGTTTGTGAACCACTGCTATTGGCTTCACTTTGAAGCTTCTGCTTATGCTTTTTGAAAAGAGATTTCTCCCATTTTGAAAATATACAATTTAAATCAGCCAATACATTTTCACTCCGAAGAATACAATGCTGAATTTAAAAATCTTACAGTCCAGCAGAAAAAGACAAGAGCTCATGATGGCAATACAAAGGCAAAAGGTAGATTAAGAAAAATGCAAAAACAATAATACTCATAAAGCAAAATAAGCATTCAGCAGAGAGACAGAAAGATCAGCACACATTTGGGAAGAACAACCAAGGATGTGTGAAGGAGGCAGCCTTGACATGGGGCTTGAGATGACTTGTATATTTAGAGGTGGGCATGAGGAGAGTCCATCAAGAGAGCAGCAGAGCAAAGGCACAGAGGGGAAAGAGGAGAATGATAATGCCAATTCATAATTAAGCTCAACTTAGTCATAAAATACACCCATGGGATTTGTGGGTGACAAGGCTGAAGATGTAGGTTGGAATGGTACTGTGGAGAGTCTTGAAGGCCATACCAAATACTTGGTATTTATTTGGCACCTTCTGAATGTTTGCAACATTTTAGGTGGGCTATAGTTTAAGGTAGGAAGGCACACATTCCTGCATTGTAAAATTACATTTCTCATTTAATTGGCCATATTTGCAAAGTCAAATCAGAAGTGAGGTGGCCACACAGAGGAGAAAGTTACAGCAAATCTCAGTGCAATTTCTTGGTCTCTGGAGAACTTAATGGGGAACACACAGCATGTGGGCGATACTCTCTTTACAAGATAAGGTCTTGCAAGTTCTGACAAGTTCAATTCTTACTATGTCACAGTTGTTTTCTACTTTGGCATTGCAGCATGATTCATAAAGGACTTTCACAATCTATGGGTTTCTGTTCAATAGGATGTTTGAGAAATAGCAGATTTTCTTTTGGACTTAAGTTGGTGTCAGCAAGACCACATTTTCATTCTGGGTATATGAGAGGGTTGCTTCATCGGGAGAAAGCACAGCTGGAGGACAGGATGTCTGATGAATATCTTTGCCTACCACCTTCCAACATGCTGGAAAACCAATTTCTTTATAGTGCACTGCTGCATAACACACTTAATGTCTTCTTATCTGGGATTTCTGATCCTAACTTTAGTGAAAAATCTATAATAGAGCCATTTCCCTATAAGGTGTTATCTTATGAGATATCTGGAACCTGTAGGACCTAGAGGGAGCAGGTTAGGAGAAACAGAGAAGCCAGCCAGGTCAGTTTTCCCTGGAAGACACTGCCACACTCCAGAGAGGCTGGGTGAAGACTTCCTAATGTATTTTAATAGCTGAAGAAACAAACATTGGCCAGCAGAGAGGGAAGTATCCAAGGAAACCTCAAAAAGCTGACCATCACTCAGGAGTGTAGTCAGCCTTTAGGGGATAGTCACAGAATCCTACAGGGGATGCTGGGACGTGAAAATCACAAAGAGCTCGAATAAAGGTGTCAACATAAGAGCCAGAGGTTGAGTTCAGAGCAAGGAAGAATTGTTTTTAAGCTTAGCTGGAATTTTCACATATTGAATTTCCAGTCTAGGTTCTTGACTTGTGCTCTCATAATTCAGAGGTAATATGGGCCTGAGTTAGTGTGGAAAATAGAAAATATTTAATAAAAATGAGTCCATTGGACTCATCTTCTAACTGGGACAGGAGCAGGAGAAGTGGAACTCAATGCACAGATTGATTTGGAATTTTCTTTAGGGAAGTGGGAGACTGGGAGAGGGTTTTGGACTAGAGATATATACTTGTAACAAAAACCTCTAAACTGTAAAATACACTGAAACCTGTCATTTTCTGTTTTTAAAAAGTGAAAAGATATTATTTTTTATAGCACTGCAAGTAAAAATACCATATTACCTCCCCCTAAAAATAAACACATCTGCAGCATGTTTATTCTATGGATAGTCCATAACATAGGACATTTATGCTTTTTTCTAAAACTAAAGTCACAGAGGATATTCCCTCTTACTGGAATACAGTACTTGAAGGCAGTGTGGAGTGTTCTGGAACGCACATCATATTAACGGTTGAAGATGCCGCTTTGGCCTGTACTCCTAGTCACAGTAAATGAATTTGATATGTTCCTCACAGCTACATCTCTTTCCATGATTCCCTCATAGAGTGAGGGAATGATGTGTAAACTTCCTTTGACAGCTTATCCCTCATAGGTCTCCTCACACGCTGATGTATTTGACAGAATCAACTATCTTACTTAAGTCCGCATACACAATCCACCCATCACCACACTCCGCCTGTCACTGCTCCCACTGCTGTCTGAGGGAGGTTACTACAGGCTGTTCCCTGGCTTCCTGCCTTGGCGTGGATAACTTAATACTTCCCTGCAAAGTGTGTGTGAATGTGCCAGGTGACAGGGGTTAGATGGAGACAGGCCTTTTCAATCTACATGGACAATTCCTCAAGACACTCTCGAAGCTGAGACAGGAAGATATTTCCCTGTAGGAACTACCGAACATGAATTTCCCTCCTTCAGCTTCTCTGAGTCCTCAGCAAGAATGTGTGCAGATCTGTGGTGAAAGACAATGACTTCTGCACATCACATGTTTTGTCAAGATTGAAGGCAAGAGGAGACAGATGTGGGTTCCAGTTTGACCTTGTACGTTCAGTTGTCCTCACGGGCTCCAGTTTTCCCCACTGTCCCTCCAGTTTTCTTCCTGACTGCCAATCCTGCTGACCTACAGTGACTTTAGCTCACCATATGGATGCATAAACGACAACCTTCCCCACACATCTTCACCAGTCTCTGTAAGAGTGTAGGGTCTAATCCCTGTAGTAAATTTATTATTATTTATCACTCTGATTCTGGTTCTCTGAACAAAGCCTGATACCAAGGCTATTTATCAAGGAAAGGATATGATAAGATTCACACATTAGTGCCATACCTGTAGTATGGAAAATGGATTAGACATAGAATAATTATTAGAATATTCTGAATAGCAAAAATCTTGACTTCTCAAATGAAATCTTATTAGAAACCTCAGATAGATGGGTACATACTTGCTTGAGATAGGGATGAGGAACTTAAGACTTGATTGTTCTGCCTCCCTTCTCCCTTCCCTCAGCAATCCAGGAAGTACCCAAAGTTCTAAGAACATAGTTTAACAATGCCCACATTAGGAATGCCCCCATAGTCATTTGGTGAGAAATGAAGTGGTCCATTATTACAGTGTTGGAGGTGAGCATGAAGTATATCGGAGAGTCAAGAGGTTTTTAGGAATTAAATTTAGCACTGCTTTGTATGAGTGGTATGGAAAAGGTAGAAATTTAGTATTCTTCCAGGCCAGTGTCACTTCTTGAGAAGGTACCACTAAAGGACGTGTTAATTTCAGACCATTGAAGAATTCTTGGCTTATTCAAGCCACAATGTGCAATAGGGCTGGAGTTCAAGAGAGATGTCTTCTATAGAGACATGGTTTTAAGTTATTGCAAAGGTGGGTCAGTTATAGATTAGGAAGAATAGATTGAGAAGAGCTAAGGCACAAATATAGACTCTGAGATATAGCAACATTAATGTCGTCATAAAGGCAAGAAGCCCTTGAGTTGCTATAAACATAGGAGAACCAGGAAAAAAGAATCCACGGGCTCTAAAGAAGGGGAACATTTCCAGGACAGGCTGATCAACAGCATGAAATGCAAGCTTGCCAAGGTCATAAAATATCCTTTAGATTTAACAGTTGTAGAGTCATTGAGTAATGTATGAGGAGTAAGAGGGTGGTAGGAGTTGCCTCAAGGAATGAATGAGAGAAAAGGTCATGGAGGCAATGAGTAAGTTGTGAAGGAAAAGAGTAAGAGACGAGCTATAGAAAGGGATGTGGAGTCAAGGATGCGATTTCTTTTTTTTGAAGGCAGCAACCTGAAGGGAAAGAGTAATTCAAGAGTAAATTATTGCATATTAATCTCTGAGTCATTCATTGTTTTCATTGAATTTCTACCTCATTGCCTTCATCTACAGCTATCTTTTCTCCAAGATCTCTCCTGTCCTCTTAAATAGCAGAGAACTCCCTGTTCTTTATAGCTACAAAGTATTGTATTCAAACTTCTAAAAGCAGCAAGTATTAAATATCTTTTCTTCCCCTTTAGCTCACATGTTGGCGTAGCCCTTAAGTTATATCACTTACTAGAAGTACACCCAGGCTCCCGAGTGTTCATAGCTGCTGAAGGTTCTGTACTTAACCATCTAAGTTCAGGATTGTGGTCCCCCTCTCTAACCCCTGCTTCTGGTTTTGACATCTCTCTTTATTGCATTGTATGAAGATACACAGTTTTAAAGCAAACAACCATAGAGAGAACATTACTATTTTTTTTTCCTCCAGTTTTATAGAGGGTAAGTTCTTGATGCCACATTTAAAATGATCCTTAACATTTATGTACTCCACACCAGGCATTCTACTTTTGCATTTGTCTCATTTAATTCTCACAATAACTCCTTATGAGGGGTATTATGATGTCATTTTTATAGAAGGTGATTGAGGCTCAAAGAGAGGTTAAAAAAGTTCAAATATACAAAATTAATTAATATAAGAATAAGCATTAAAATTCGCTGCATAAAATAATGTAAGCATAGTACCTGGCATATAGTAAGCACTGAGGATAATGTTTTGTTGTTAGTACCATTTCTAATAGTTTTTACAATCTATATCCTGTATTCTTCCATTATTGACACAATTTTATCCCATTCTCACACAATTGATTCAAAAAGATAACAAAGAATCACTTACATGATGTCAAGACGTAATAAATGTTGTTAGCTAGGGGCTGGCCCCGTGGCCGAGTGGTTAAGTTCGCACGCTCCGCTGCAGGCGGCCCAGTGTTTCGTCGGTTCGAATCCTGGGCGCGGACATGGCACTGCTCGTCAGACCACGCTGAGGCAGCGTCCCACATGCCACAACTAGAGGAACCCACAACGAAGAATACACAACTATGTACCGGGGGGCTTTGGGGAGAAAAAGGAAAAAAAATAAAATAAAATAAAATCTTTAAAAAAAAAAAAATGTTGTTAGCTAATAATCTGAAATTAACACAATTGAGTGTCAGAAAGAACGCCTGGAATAGGATAACAAAAATGAAATTGAGACATAGTGATAGATGCCCTTCCCACCGCTAACTACTGAAATTGAGTTAGAAGTTACTTTCCAATAGATTCAATATGAAATCTATAACTTCTCACCTTTGGTTGATGCATGGTGATGAATTTTGAGATAAGTTATTTAAGAAAACACTGAGGAAGACATAGACTTTTGGAATTTCTCTAATAATCATTTCCTGAACGTGAGGGGTCTGAATTCAATTGCTTTTTAAATCCTTTGTCCACAAGATTTCTTTTAGGTATTTTGTTTGCATTTGAAGAAATAACTACAAGAACAGAATAAATGAAAAGAGGCAAAAGAAAAAAGGGAAAAAATATATTAAAATGTTATATTGTATATTGCAAATGGATGAAAAATGGGCTAGAAAGAGACTCTAGATTTTAAAGATATTTTGACTGTTACATGGAGGAAACAATGTTGATAAATTCTGATAGGATATCTAATGCTGTTAAAGGCCATTACTGAAAAAGAAGAAGAAGAAAAAGGCTAATCGTTCTAAGATTTCACAATCAGGTAATAAAAAGCACAAAGCGCTATGATTGGAACCCAGGTTTGTTTGACTCTGAGGATGACTCTGCACCAATACACTGCCCTGAAATTTCAGTCCTTGAATAATCAATTCTCAGAGACTGCAATCACCTTCTGGCTCCCTATTAATTGTCATCTTAGCAGCCGCAGACAGGAACAGTATACCGTTATGGTTTTCACAGCATGCATGATTACCTCAATGCTTTCTAACCCAAACTGTTCTTTAGTCTGCAGTAGATTCCTTCCTTCCAGCTGTAGCTGAGTGTTTTTAGAAATCCCCATGAGAATTGTTGGCCCCTGCCTTTGTGCCTGTCAGTAATTGAGCTATCTACTCCAGCCACAAGCTGTTGGATAGCATGGGTAATACAATGGCATAGTCCTGCTGCAAAGCCTGGTCGTAGTGAGAGCAGAAAGGTCAATGCCCTCTGGTTGGTTGCCATGCACTGAGGAGCATGGCTTACCCTGGGCTCACCCCATGATTTTCTCATCAGTCTTGTATCATTTTTATAAGAAGGTGGTACCTCGCCACAAGCCACCTGGCCTATAAGTTGCTTTTAGGCTTCCAGTGTCTATACACAAAGAACAACTGTTCTCTGTATCTGCAATCAGTGTTCCATGCCACGAAATTGCACTGGGCACATGGCTGATTCTATTAAAGGTCTGCACTTTATTTTATAGCTTTTCCCTGACCTGGACTGGGATTGGTTTCATGTCACTCATAATTAATCATTCATTTCCGTGGTTTCTATCAAAATCATTTCTGTCTGTCCCCTTTGGAACAGAGAACATTTGTTACACATTTTTGAACTTTTACTTTGTTTAATCATTGAAGCATAGCTACAGGAGTGAGAACTTTCTGTGAAGTATCATCTGAGATTATTTCACAACGTATGAACCTCCGAGCATCCCGTTTGCCTGTTGGTTCTAGCTGTCTTTGATAACGCTCTTTTCAGTCACAGTTGAAATGTACTGATCATTGGACTAGCAATCAGGGCTGCCTGTGTCTTATTATCATTGTAGCTCCAGCACCCAGCATGTATCTGTGTTTTTGCATATAGTAGGTGCTGAAGAATGAATCATTGAATGAATGAATGGACAAGTTCATTGATCAAATATCCCTGTTTTTATGATGCCTTTCCAACTAGTGCCCAATTTCTGATCTTTTCATCTTAGTATGCAAGCTCCTTCCTTCATTTATTCAACACAAAATTTATTTTCTATTTACTATGCAACAGTCACTCCCCTCAAATGCATCTGTGAGATGTGTGTGTGTGTGAAAGACAGAGAGAGATTGACAATAAGTGTGAGCAAGGGGTGAGATGTAAACAGAGATGTAAGCAGGCAATCACAGGCCAGTGCGTAAATTAAGTGCAGGTGCAGTGCAGCACAGGCAGGATATCCAGCCCAAACCCAGACCTGTGGGTGACTTCCTGAAAGAGAGGATTCTTTTACTAGGCTTTTTTAAAAAGTGAGCTATCCAGGACAAGGCATGTGGAGAGAAGGAAGGATTTACTGGCAGAGCTAACAGCACCTGGGGTGTGAGCACAGCATGCAAGTAGCGAGGTCTGGCTGCTGGCGAGAGGTACTGAGTGAGGCCTGGAGCATTGCCAACTCATGACAGCTCTGATAGCACCATATTCCAAGCCCGTATCATTTCCTTGCTTACAATAGTCTCCTGCATGGTCTCCCTGATTCTACTATCTAAATTTCTTTACACAATAGCTGCCTGGGAGAGCTTTTTAAAATGCAAATCATGTCAGCCCTTTGCTCAAGACTCTAAGTAGCTGACCAACTCATTGGGAATGAAATAGAAAGTCCTTAAAGTGGTCTACCCAACTGCAGATGCTCTGGGTCCTGGCTCACCCTCTCTTCTTGCTTCCTGCCAGTCTTCCCATGCTCACTCCTTTCCAGCCACACATGGGATTCCTAGTCTCCCTTGAGGACACCAAACACTCTCCCAACTCAACATTTTTGTACTTGTTGTTCTCTCTTAGAACTTTCTTTTTCCCAAATATTCCCAAGACCATGTTTCATGCTCAGGTGTCACGCAGAGGTCTTATCTGTCTGATCAGCCCCTCCTAAAATTGTGCCCTCCTTTTATTCTTTTACTTGCCTTTCCTTTTATCTTTTTTTTTTTTTTTTTTTAGCGAGGAAGATTGTCCCTGAGCTAACATCTGTGCCAATATTCCTCTATTTTGTATGTGGGATGCCACCACAGCATGGCTTGATGAGTGGTGTGTAGGTCCACACCCAGGATCTGAACTTGCAAAACCTCAGCCATGGAAGCAGAGCACATGAACTTAACCACCATACCACAGGGCTGGACCCCTGCCTTTGCTTTTATTTGAAAGCCTAACAGCATATCATGACCTGACACTGCACTTAGTACATATTTGTTTACTCTCTGCTCCTGTCCCACTAGAATGTATGCTGTGTGAGGATGGGAAAGTTGCCTGCT